AGAGAAAAGCCATGTCAAGTCGATGCGAAAGTGATTGAAGACGATATGCCAGGTCAGGATCAATTACATTGCAGATCTTTCTTTGGATTTTGTCTCACGATGAACAACAGGAGCACCAGACCAGATATGACAACAGTATTCCATGCACAGATGAACAGCAGATTTGTAAATGTGCAAGATGGATTCTGATGAGTAAAATTGTCTGACACGACACAGTGAGTCAGCTTTCCTTGCAGCAGATGAAGCAATTGATTCAATGTATTAACTCCACTTCAAGTTAGTGGTAAATGTGAGGCCAAGAAGGTGCAATGTGTTGCACTTATGGAGTCTTGGTGGCAAGCAGAACAAGTTGTCTATGGTAGTTAAATGAAAGCAGTGTTGTTTTCGAGGCGTTAAAAATTAGAATCCATTTCTTGCCCCAATTAAAAACTGATTGGAGGTGCTTTTCAAGTTTTACTTTGTCAGATCTGTCTGATTTGCTTTTGAGACAAGAGTAAATGGAAGTGTCATCTGCATAAATATCTAGATTACATTTCTCTTCTGTTTTCTATTAAAGATAAATTTCCATAGCAAAATAAAATTAAATCATTTCGTTCTGTCAAAACTTACAGAAAATATACATATATATATATATATATATATATATATATATATATATATATATATATATATATGAAGAAAAATATACAGAAAAAAACAAACAAAAATCTTAATATGCAATTATGCTGTTTTAATGGTAATATAATGTCAACGTCGGACGTTTCGGTCTATTTTAGACCATCATCAGGACATATTCATAAAACATAATTAATATTAGACTATATTCAATTCAACATGAAAAAGACGATGGACATAAGAGCACGACTAATCCAATTGTTTGTTTTTTCTGTATATTTTTCTTCATACTGTCGGATCTATATCCATATATTTGCTTACATATATATATATATATATATATATATAGATATATATATATATATACACAGCGAATTAGTCTGTCTGTGGATGGCAATATATATTCCTGAAAAATTATTTGGGTGATCTCTCTGGGGAGAAAGTGTGAGTTTGTAAAAAGTGATTAATACTGCTACTAATGCAATACGCTTCGATAAAACGAATCGAGTTCTCACAGTCACTGGCGTGTTTAACTAAAAGTAAATACGCTTAAATTCACCTTCATCCCTGCTGTGTGCCAACAGCTTAGGGGTAGAGTCTCCGACTGACTCGAATTCTGCCGTGATTCGATTCTCGCTAGAGGGAACCGGTCGTCTAGCCACAGTGATGATATATTTATTGAGGATTGAGCTGGAATAATGGATAGCGGCTTGGATTGAAGAATCGGGGACTCGAGTTCGAATTCCAGTCGAATCATTTACATTCACTTACGTGCTAGGAACCTTGGGAAAAGTATTAATCCTATTTTTTCCCTCCAGCTGTGGCTAAATATCAGAACAGACTGGGTTCTATAGCATTGGAATGGCAACTGGTCTAGAAGGACAACTCTGAATTCAAATCCTGTGGAGGTTTGTTTGGGGACCTTGTGGCACTTAGTGCACCAGGTCCCTGAATTCAGCCCTTCAAAAAGTGTGGTTGGTTCTGCACAAAGCTTTCACCACTATAATCAAATCATATGTGCTGGTGTCTGGGCTGTCAGTTCCTAGGAAATGAGCTGCTTGACACTCATACGTCAAATACGACGGGAGAGTCCACCATATATATATATATATATATATTAATGTTGAGGTTACACACGTATACACAAACTCACTCAAATATATACACATACGCACATCGCACACACTCCCCCAAAGCTAAAGGATAAAATACACATAGCAGAAATATCCCTTTCCCAGCAACCAATAAATCTGTCCAAGGGTGGAATTCTTCTAATCTCTATTTAAAAATAACTTGAAAGAAGCCGTTTTAACCAATACAAGGATTGACCAAAATTAACGATAAAAAACAAATTAAAAGTACAAATAAAGTTTATATATATATATATTTGAACAATAAAACATATTAAAAATTAAATTTTTCAGATATATATATATATATATATATTTTGAACAATAAAACATATTAAAAATTAAATATTTCAGATATATATATCTATCTATATATATATATATATATTGAACAATAAAACATATTAAAAATTAAATTTTCATATATATATATATATATATATATATATATATATATATATATATATATATATATATATAAATATTATAAATTAATTGATTTAAAATATGTTTTCTTTCGCTACACAGTTCTAACCATGTTTCAAAAATGGAAGCTAAAAGCCCCGAATTTAATTTTGTGATTAAATTAAAGACATTAGTTCCATTTCATCCTCAAGCGAATTTTGGAGTAACTTTTAAAATTACTGGGTTTTAAATACATAGCTAAAAAAAAATTCATGTTTCCATGGTTACAGATAAATCTATTATTCTAGACAGGGATGTTTGGGTGTTCAATATGTCGATATTTTAATGTA